GGGAAGTAGTGTTTAAAGTCCAGCATCTGGTCAGAGAAGCTGCTTCACCCAAACCTGCAGCGCTGGGTGAGATTAGGGTCGGATCAATTTCCCACCACAAACAAACCGCTGGAGAGTTTGTTTGACTTGGACTGAGACTGCTTCCTCTCGCTGTGGCTGTGATAATCCACACCTGGGATCGATTGCCCGAAGAAACTGTACAAAGGGGGAGAAGAAAAGATTTACAGATTTGAAACATTCGGTTTTCTCTCTGTGTTTGCGGCAGTGCTGCTAAACTACTGAAACAGCCTTTTAAACAAGCTTTGATTTCACCTTAGCTACACCAAAGCTGAGGGAGATACAGACACACAGCAGTTTGTTTGTTCTTGTTACTGTGGGTTATTTCTATTTATAGTATGAATCGTGGTTCATTCTGAGTTTTTCTGACCTAAATAGACTGGCCCCGTGGGTTCCTGTGCCCAGTGGAGCATTTAGCCGAGCAGGTTGTGTTGTAGTCGGTGCGTGTGATTTTGTGTATTTTTGTATGAGGGCGTTGTGGTAAAACTGGTCATTAAAATGTCCGTCTTCTCCGCTCAGCTGTGTGGGCGCCTCCTCCAGGTTGTACGTACAGAACGAAATGTGTGTGTACGTGCGAGCGTGTGTGTGTGTTATCTTTTTACCAAGACTGCATTTAAGTCTGAGTCAGCACACACGATGTTTTAGTCATCTTCCGACAAACCTCATTCAGTAAGCAAATACAAAAACTTAAAGTTTTCTTTTTTTATTCGTACTGATTTTTCACCCATTTTTGTTTTTTTTTTATGATCAATGATCTCTTATGATTAAAGCTGATTAAGCAAACAATGTGGTGGAAACATTTAATCTCAGGGTTCATGGTTCTTTGTTTTCTCTTTATGAGAAACCACAAAACGTCTTGTAAAGAGTTTCAATTTACTGGGAACTGCGACCACGTGCGCTGAGCTGTAGAGACGGGAGATGCAGTGATATGAGATGTTGTTATGG